TCACTCTTTTTTACTACCTTTCTATACCTTAGAGTTTAGAATGTAAAGAAAAGATACAAGGAACCACTTCAGCAAGCTAACTTTATGAAACAGGGATAACCAGGAAGATGGTCTTCTAAGATAAAAATATAAGAATTGAAGAACCGAGGGACAGGAATCCATCATACAGCCACTTGGTATCCATTATTTCCTCCCTTTAGGGGATTAGATATTGATTGTTAAAAAGGGAGAGGTGAGATTGGTTTCAAGGTCAATTCCTAGATGAATCAATTGCCAAGATAAAAAAAAAAAAATGAGATGAGGGGATTAGAGTTCCTTGACACAGGATGAGAAATAAGATTTTCTGGAAATTTGAAACTGAGTATGGTTTATTAACTTAAAATAAAGTGACATAATTCATGAGCAATGAAAGATCTTCCAGAAGAAACACACAGGCAGATAAAATATAAAGGAGAGACTGACAGGAGACAAGGAGAGAGAACAGGAACAAGGCTGTACAAGGTTCTCATCTGCTTTCTGTCGCCTTTTTCCAGGCCCTTACAAGGACTGTTAAATTCTATGAGATGCAACTGTGTCTTATTAATTCACATTTTTCACTAATGGTGGCTTAAATTGTTTTCTTTAATTAAAAGGAAAAGGTACACTAAGACATTCCTAACCATGCCTTTGTTGTTATTGTCGGTAACACTAGAAAACACTTCAAAGGATTTAAAGGTCTTTTCAGCAATAAAAAACTAAAGGAGAAATTGCTAAGCTATGTTAGCGATGGTCTGAAAGGCAAGGAACCCAGGTGGAAGGGCAGATGGTTATAGCCAGAAGGGGAGAAAATGGGCCAAGTTCTTGGAACCCATGGGATATAGGATGGAAGGTGAATAAAATGTTGGCTAGGAGAGAGGAATGGCCTCACAGGATCTGACCAGGGAAAAGGAGCTACTGTCCCATACGGTAGCTTTGCAACGTGACATTTGAAATGCCTTCTTAAACGGATTCTAGAATATTATCTACAAGAGCAACACCACCATGCCCTCCTTTCACCCCCTTCAGACAAAAAAAGACAAGTGGAAGACGACTCTAAACAAGAATGGGGAATGATTCTCTCTTTTCTCTGGCCAATTGAACTTCGAAGAGCCTTTGATATGCTTCTCATTTCATTTTCCTTTGTTGTTACATAAGAATAGGGAAATAAAATATAAATTTTTTGTCATTGTGAAACAGAAGTTTGCCTATGTGCTCTGGCCCCAGAAGAAAGCCAGATTTCTGCCACTGCTTTGACTGTCAGAAAGAATTAGGTTCTGGTCCAAGACTTGAACAACTTGACTTCTTTAAATTCTGCTTTTGGTTAAGGAGAAGAATGGCTATATTTGTCTTTCACACCATCTCAGAGTTGGGAAAAAATAACATAGAGATTATCAAATCCAATACATCATTCATATATGCATACTACTTGTGCCAGTATTTGCTTAATTTTTTTATTTAAATAAATTCACTTTTTGCCTTTTCACAGTATTTTAAAACAGTATTAATATTAACAAGAATAAAAATCTGGTAGCATATGTCACAAACAGGAAGTATTACTTTAAGAAAATGTTCATCTGAATACCAAGTAAAATCAACTGGCATATATGCTATTCTCTGTCTTAGTGACATATCATCCTTTCCTCTTGCTGTCCACAAGAGTATCATAAAAGAGTTTTTAAATGCTGTGCTAACAAGCAGGTCTCTGTTAATCTCAAAACAGTTCTCCCAGAAAAAGACATCTTATTAGTCTGATTTGGTTTGTTCTCAGTAAGCTCACCTTGATTAGCTATCAGTGTTCACTACTGAAACCAACCCAGAGCCAGAAAGATGCTGAAACACGTGTAAGAGAAGTGGTACTTTGTAGAATAAATGTGTTGTGATTTTTTTCTCTATTGTCTTAGGACTGTCTGTATGTGCTAACTAGCTGCACAAAGGAACTTTAAGACATTCTATATGCTCACATTTCTTCAACCTCTTACTGAACAAAACAATCTCACAGTGGGGTATCAGTGACGATTTTCAAATGGAAATCTGCATGAAAAGCAGGGCAATAACATGCTATCTTAGCTCTGAGAGAAAGAATCCTTCACATCCAGGTTCTCCAATGGCTTGTTCTATGATTACTTTCAGGGGAGCAGGATGCTTACATTTCTCTGTATCACAGTCACAAGTTTCATTTCATCTATGTGTTTTATTCCTGAACTTTCAAAGTAGTGTGTGGCTTATAGGGGAGATGCTATTGAAAATTATATATGAGATTTCTTTTTTGCAGTAACCTATCTTTATTCATGTCTTAGTTTTGTGCAAGAAAGAGGACCAGAAAAAAAAAATAGAAATAGAAGTCCCATCATACATTCATATGATTAAGACTCTGGGCTTAAGGAAGAAATCTCTTTTATACCTATGATAAACTTGGGTGTTTAATTTTCCCTGCAACCAAGCATATCCCTTACTGGATAAATGGCTCAAAGAGGTTCTGTATACAACTTGTTATCCATAAACACAGGCACCCTAATCTGTATTTGTCACTATTATTCTCTTTAATATGTAAGTCAATTATAGCAAGCTTTAAATAGAGCAGCATAATGAGAAAATCTCCTCATAATTGAAGAAAAAGGAGTGCAGAACTTCCTGCCAACACAAACTGTTAATTTTGTAAACACTTTATGTACTTTTTCTAATTTCTATGTTTTATTCAGACTGTAAGTTTGCACAAAATAATGTTTTTAATGAAATTTCCCCCCATTGAGTGCAATTTTCTTACTTTAAATGATGACTACATTTTGAATGTGAAACGTCTGTAAAATTCTCCTTGGCAAAAGACAAGATTGAAATCACTTCCATTTTCAGGAAATTGTGTGATCAGCATGGCAGATACAGCAATAGATATTTCCCTTCCTTTTAAACTTAGAGACCCAAATGCTTATTATTTGAATAGCTATAAAAACTGTCACTTTAGTTCACAATTCAATATTGTCATTTAATACAGAAGTATATTAGGCGTCAAAAAAGAAGAAAAATGGATGAGCAAGAAAAAAACAAACGTACACACACACACACACACGACTTTTTTTTTCCTAGCAGAAGTTAAAATTGCATTTCACTTAACTGACTAAAAATACAGAGCATAACCCCTCTCCTACACTAACACGAAGACCTGTTCTAGTATGCAAGCATATCCAAATGCTAAAATCCACACCACAGTGCAAGGAAAAAAAAAAAAAAAAAGAACATCCCATGGAAACCTACCATCAGAAGAAGACTGTATTCATCTTGCTGTGCGCTGAAGTACAGTACATTCAATGCACTACATTGTGAATAGCAATAGTCTAACTTTAAGCTACATTGTCTTACATATTTTAAACCACACTTCGTTTGAAAGAACAGACTGGTTATTTCCAAGATGTCTCACTGAAAACTTATCATAGTTTGAGGAAAATGAGACTTGGTGCTTGGCAGGATAGCCAACGGCCTTTTGCTTTTCTGACTACTATTCAAATCTTACTTGGCCCAACTTGACAGTCATTCTTCCTGACAACCTTAACAGGTTTCTGTAAATGGTATGATACCTGCAGTTTTCTTCCACTTGGGATTCCGCTCTACAGCTAATGCAGGCACAAGGGACTTGAAAATATAATATTTTCACAACTATAAAAGTATTTTTCTTTGGCTTTCCAACTACTATGCAATGTGGATGACAGGACAGTTTTTTGTTTTTTGTTTTCTCAGATTTGGCAGCCACCAGGAAACTATTTAAAAGATAGATTACCAGGTCCTCCCTCCAGAGATTGGAATTAAGTGTGTCTGGGGTTTGGGCCAAGAAACTTGTGTTTTGAAAAAGCACCTCAAATTATTCTTATATCGGCTGCCCAGTTCAAGTACCCTTTCTGGACACCTTACAGTAGGGATTAAATTACCAGAAAACCAATAGGGTACAACTGAGAAAGGTACCTTTCTACCATTCCATGTTATGTGTACTATTTTAAATATCAGTTCAGCAGAAGAAAGGAAGACAGCATATTTACTTAAGCTGCATATAGAGTGCTACAGATACATGTTCATAAGAATTGGCCCTTTTAATGTCCCAAATGGTACCTATGGTCCTCTTCTCACTTGCTCTGCATGTGAACTTGATGAGTTCATGCGGTCACTGGGGGGAGAAAAGAGTAACACTATGTACAATGAGCAACAGGACACAAGAGCTCACTTTTCCACCTAGTAGGAAGCCACAGTCTCTAAGAATGCATTTTGTTAGGGGCATAATTATGCAGAAGACAGCTGGTTGTTCTCAGTTTTCATTCTGAAGACAGAATGAAAGATAATAAGCTTCAACCATACAGGCTGACACTTACATTGCTGAGAAGTAATTTTTAGAACTACTGGAAAGAACAGTCTGGTGACAAAGTGCTCTTAGATTCAGCTATAGAAGAGGACGTTGAGGAGATTATCACCTTACAAACTAGATAGCTTCTCACCTGGTTAGTACTATTTATGCACACCCCTCCTACCTGAAAAGCAAGAGGAGGACTGAGGAACCTGCTCAGGCTGTTTGTGGCCCTGTAAATTTATGAATAATTCTTTTACAACAACTTCAGAAAACAGATCTCTCTCTCAACCTGCACATAACTTCTTGTTTTTCTCATTCAGTGTAGTCTATCACAGTAACTCTAAGAGGAAAGCTTTCCCATGAGAAAAGGTGAGATAAGGAGTAATCTATTCAGAGAAAAAAAAATAAGATTTATTCTAGGTTTATAACTTTGAGCAAATCAGGTACCAATATATAATCAATGTTTCCCACAAATTTTATATCAAGACAAGTGTGCACAAAGAGAGGTATTTATTTTTAATTTTCTTATCTTAGGCAAGTGTCATAACTTAAAGAATATTTGTGATGCTTATATTATTTACTTTTGTGTTTTCATTCATTTAATTTTTCTTCTGATGGTGTTACCATTCTCTGGTCTTTCAGAGTGGTAATGTACAAGTTATCTTCTGCTTCAATATCACATTCCTGTGTAGGGATCCCTACAGCATGACTAGTTTAGATATTGAAGAGGTTTTGAGTAGTGAATAATTCTCAAAGAACCGACCCACCCCATTCTCACAATAATTGCCACATCCAGTGTACCGGACACAACCGGACACAAATGCCCTGTTATATTGTTATCAAGGGCCAGTCTTCTACAATTACTTTTAGATCAAGTTGGCAAAATCCTTGCACCAGTCTAAATGTTAACACTGAGTTTTACAGTACTGTTTTCTTTTTTTGTTGCATATATATTGAATGAAACGGATAATACTTTGTGTGCTTTATTGAGAGATGACTTTGATAAATTCGCTTCAGGGTGAGAGTTGAGCCTGTGTGTGTCTGAGTCAGTTTTAAGAAAGAGGAGGAAAGTGAACTTCATACTGCCAGTATCAATTCAGGAGGGAAGGAGGAACTTGGCTGAGGGGGGAGCACTCAGTGCAGAGGTCAGTGAAAAAACCTTTGGCAGTTGCACGACTGGGAAAAGGTTTTGGTGAACAGCTATGGCTGGCAGTATTTTATATGGGTCGATTTCGGATGTGAAAAATACCCTTCCTTTCCTGTTCTAAAGGATGATCACTGGTGAATTCTATGTGGCTCACTGACGCTTTTGTGGGAGATTTTGTTTGGAGGGCTTACAGAGAAAAATGAAGAGGCAGTTGACATCTAGGTTTTAGAAGTATATACTCAGAGACTAACCTCTTTGAAAAAGGATACAGGAGGACATCAATTTCTCTGGAGAGTGGTTCATCATTCCCCATTGAGTCTACAATTCTTCAGGGTCTAGGTCAAGGCCTTTTTCTCCAGGAAGCCCTTTCTGATTATCCCCTCCTCAGTAATCTTCCTCCCTTTTGAATTCATACAATTCTTACCACCTGTGGCATTTAATTTAGCATGTAATTCTATTGCCTTTTGGAAAACTTAATACAAATAAATGAAAAATAGAATGGAATGCAGACCAAAGCCTAGGAACCTTATTATTCATTCAACCCAGCACTAGATGATGAGGGTTTACACCACCTGCTGTAACATGATGCAATCTGATGCAAGGATCTTTTTCTGTTATACTTTTACATGTGCTTCTGGGTGCTTTGGTTACAGAGCTAGGTATCAGCATTTTATTGATGGGTAAATGTTTTCTTTTCCTACCACATAAAATGAGCAGGGGAGAGGGGATCAGTGGTGGGGGGAAACTCAGCATGCTTTATCTACATAGAATTTATTTTCAGAATGCATCAAGACAAACTTTGGAGCCAAATGCTTCATTGTTTAGGTCAGATTTCAAAAGGCTGGTTGAAATAAGCTCTACATATTCATCAGCAGGCACTGCCAATAAAGACACAAATAAAGCAAATTAATAATTTTTTAAAACTGTCTTCAGAAAATTTCTATGTGGTTTTGATGAACAAAACTCTAACATAAGAAGCAGCACCATTGTCTCAGTGTTTGGGCACAATCATTCTCAAGGACATCTGTGCTGTCTCCTTTTCAAGCTTGGAAGGCTGCTATTGGAATTAAACCCAGACTCCTTTGTTGGGAAAAAAAAATCTGAATTTTTAGATTTCCATTTAAGTTGAGAAACAGCTTTCTCCACTTAAATGCAAGATGCAATTTATTTTACAGTGTTAAATTAATAGCAGTGATTGGCTTGGAAATAAAAAAAAATGTTTTGAATAAAACACCACATATCTATCAAAAGGCTACTATAAAAAAAGTTGTTCTTTGCTAAGGCACACTGTACACTTGCAAATCATTTTATCATAATTCCAGTCATACTATGCAGACTTAACTTTAGCTCAAGCCATTTGACATATGAAAATTCTGAGTTTAAATCAGAAATCAAGATGGTTGAAATTAGGCTTATAAATATGATAGATATTTGCATTAAAAGCTTTCAATATAAAATTGTACCATTTTATCAAGAATAAAACCCATCTGGCAGTATCAACGCAGCAATGATTTATTTAGTGGCCCAGAAAGTGGCTATCAGTAGATATTCCATTTTTCTCAGATGTAAATATTGAGTGAAGTGTACTTCCTTCTTGATAGGAAGTCCAACTCAGAGATAAACTTTTGATGGACTCATTAATAGCCTGGCCTGTAAATCTTATCTCCACTCAGATCTTAAAGCAAATAGCATTATTCTTTCATTATGCAGAGGCCCTCACCATCCTGTTCTGATGCAGTACTTCAGCCTAATGGCCTAAGAATATTAAAACATGAAGAGAAGAAAGGAAATACATTTTTCTTTTTTCCTTTAACACTCACTTCACATGTGCAATTATTGACTCTGAAGCCTTTGGTCTCTGCATACAGAATTCATCCATGCTGTCTCTTCCAAAAACACACCAGACCCCTTCACTCTCCAAACCACCAACGCCTTGGCAGGGGCTGGGGCTAATGTAGAGAAGCTAGATTTGGCAAGAGTGGAAAAGGAGAATTTCTAAGTGTCAGCTGAATGCCACAGAACGCTGCAACATCTTGTTCAGCTCAAGTAAGAATTCTTTCTAGGGGCAATGTGGAATACTGAAAACAAGAAAAAATCAGATGATTTTACAGAAAAACAAAATGATTATTCAGAGAAAAAGAAGAGTTGCAAGAAAAAAGAGGAAGTCTTTAACATTTTTTTTTTCTTGAGTTGTGAAGGGAAGCGCCTAATAGAAATATACACAGATTGGTTTTTAGGTTCTTTTCTTTCTTTCTTTCTCTTTCTCTCTTTCCTTCCTTCCTTTCCTCTTTCCTTCCTTCCTTCCTTCCTTCCTTCCTTCCTTCCTTCCTTCCTTCCTTCCTTCCTCTTGTGTGTGTGTGTGTGTGAGATAAATGAACAATTTAGAGGGGTGCTGTGGGGAAGGTGTGGACAAAATGCTTGTCATTGATAATCAATGCTGGGCAAAAAAACAAATCATAAGATACACTCAGCTCTCCCTCTGAAGTAACTTGAACCAAGGAGAAACTCTTCAATAATTTCACATTTTTAATATTCAGAATGCTATTTCCTTATAGAAAATAAAAGTTTATGTTGTATCAGATACTTATTTACCAATTAAAGTTAGAACTAAATATTGATGGATAAATATATATCCCCTTATAAACTGTGGACACTAATACAGCAGTCTTTTCCTCATTGGGATTCAGTTCAGCATGGGAAACTGTCCTTGTATTTTGTTTTTTCTAAAGCCCTTACTATATCACTGTGTGTGTGTGTGTGTGTGTGTGTGTGTGTCTTTTTTTTTGACAAAAAAAAGATGGAAGAAGACCTATGATTAGGACTTTCAAGCAGTCTACAATTATTTAGTGGTAATCAACAACATGAATACCACTGTACTAAGTTGATTTGATGATAAGAGGAAAACAAATAATGTCCCTGACATAACAAGATGTCAACATCAGGAAAAACAAAACCAAACTGCAAGGCAAGTCACTTATCTTTTTTGTTGTCTATTTGTTTGATTTTTGAGAACCCTATACTCACAACAGCAGCCTAATATTTTAATTCTTGTTATGGAAATCAGAGGCCAAATAGGATTTTAGGGAAGTGGAGATCAGAAAAAGACTTTGTGACTTAAGGTGTGGCCTGAAGAGGTCCCCAAAAGGTGGGAGAATATTTTGTAGAAAAGATACTAAAGACCATTTCTGACCAAGAAAGCAGCACATGAAAAGGCTTAGACCTGGGATCTATGCGGGTATCTGGCCACTTGGGCAGGGGACATTAACCTGCCAAGGTGGGGAGGAGTCAGGAAGCACATGCAACAGAGTCAAGGTGAGGGAGCCTAGAAAGCCAGATAGAGGCATTTATATGCACAAATTATTCTTTCATTTCACCCTCACTGACCATTCCCTGAGTTCTTTCTCTGGGCCACATCTTGCATAAGAGCTGGAGCCCCAGAGTGAGACAGACAGGCGTGACCCAGACCACATGGAATAGAGACTAAGACTAAAGGGCCAAACAAGGAATTCCATTCAAGTCAAGTGTTTGCAAATTCCACATGGAGAAGGAAGAGGAGGAAAACATTCTTTATCAAGAAGAATCTGATCTTTGATATCCCTCAATCTTATATGTGGTAAGATATTTTATAAAGGGGTTTATAATATAATAACAGCATGGGAGCTTCGATAATATTTTTTCTTCTAAGACACTCAAAGAAAGTATAATAAGCTAACTTCAAGAAGAATAATCAGGTTTTTCAGATGACCTTTCTAAAATGACTATCAAAAAGACTTCTAGTCTTTATAATGTCTAAGATAAATAATTACACCACTGCAGCAATTTCAGGTCTGGGCTGCTTCCTGAACGCTGCCCCAAATAAAGGTCTACAAAACACTTTCCAAATATGCTAATTAGCTGAGTGGGTTTGTGTGTGTTTCAAACTATATTGAGTTTTAGTGCCAATCTGCTTCAGAGTCAGCTGAGGGAATAAAAGCACAGCTTGATTCGAGGTTAGCAGAGTGAAGGACAAGAGCATTTTGTCCCCTTTCATACCCCATAGCTTCACTGTGATCTGTGCACTACTCTCTAAAGATTAGGCTCTAAGTGGCCACACTTTTTGAGACTTTAACACAAAAGCTTCTGACATCTCTCCTAAAAATATCCGAAAACAATTTGATGTGTTCTTAAAGCTAAAGCATGGAACTACATTTTCCTTCTCCTAGCCCTTCCCAGCCTATTATGGTGATTTCCAAATGAATAGCATTGGGCTGATTGCTTATCGGGCTGGATAATGGCCTAATTTATTATAGAAACCCTAGTCAGACAGAAAAAAATGGCAAAATCCCGCTGATTTATCAAATCTTTTTGAGACATAGGGTCCATGTGCAATAAAAATCTGCTAGAACATGGTGAGCCTATGAGATGGGAGATTTTTGTCTCATTACCACCAGCATTTAAAAATAGGGCACCTCCTCAGGTTGAAATGTCAAGCCCGAGACTGCTGTGCGTAGATGGGTGTGCAGGACACCTAAATAAGTC